TTATTATTATTATTATTACATCTTAAATTCTGGGGTACATGTGCAGAACGTGCACTTTTGTTACATAGCTATACATGTGCCATGGTGGTTTGCTGGAGACACAGGAACACATTAAATGCTGAGAGGAAGAGCCCATGCTAAAGGAATTCCAGTTATAGGAGAGGCAGTAATTCATGAAAGAAGATCCCTAAATGGAGCAGGGAAATCTTCTTTATATGCCCAACAACAAGTAGAAGGATTTGAGGGTCTGTGACAGGCAAGTCTCCTTCTGGGTCACACAATTGGGAAAATTCTGGTCATTATCCAGTAGTCTTCCTTGTCTGTCCCACAGACTGAATTTGTGGATTACTCTTGTGAGTATGGGCTTTGAGCAAAGGGTGGTGCCAGGCCCATGATACCACACAGACTACCTGCCACAGGCAGGGGCACACCGTGAGTACTGCAGCAGTTTAGGGAAGCACAGTTCAAAAGAGACTTTGACAGTCTAGATGGTGCTCAACAAGAGGAGACAAGCAGGTGGGGATAGGTCTGAAACAAGAACAAAGGAGTAGATTTAGTCCCAAGTACCAAAGGACAAAGGATGTTGACCTGTTCTCTGTCACCCCTGAGAGCTAAAAGGTGGGATTTTTCAGGGAGGAAGACTTTGTTCAGCTCAACAAATGGTTGTTAAAGTCTTAGTCTTTTCCTCTCTTTTCTTCTCACTATATAACCTCTCCCTAAGAGACCTCTCTGTCCCTGGCTTCATGGCTGATGACTTCAATTCTGGATTGGTGCATGAAGATAGGCTTAAACCCATACATTTCTACTAGACATCTCCACTTGAATGTTTCTCAGGCACCCCAGACTCAACTTGTCCAAAATAGAAGTCATCAGAAATGTGAGTCAACTTCGACTCTTCCTTGTCTCCCAATCCCAGGATCCAGTTCATGATCAAGTCAACTTTTCTTCATCCCACTGCCACCAGCTTGGTCCAGGCCACCACTGTGACCTGGCTGGACACTTGTCAATGGCCCCCTCATGGATCTGCCTAAATCTGCTCTTGCTCCCTTACAATCTATTCTCCTCACAGAAGCCAGACACATCTTTAAACAATACAAATATGATGATTCCCCTGATCAAAACCCTCCAATGGCTTCCTGGTTGCTTTTAAGAAAAGAACAAATAGAGTCTTTGTTTCAGAGGGTCTAAAATGTACCACTTGATTGGGCGCCTGGCTCCTTCTTCAGTTCCACCTCTCTGACTCTCTGCCCTCAAGCTACGTGGTCTTGTTGTACCTTGAATCTGTCACCTATACCTTCTTGCTTCAGGGGCCTTCACACCCTCTCTTCCTTCTTCCAGCCCCACCCTCCAGGCCCCTGTCCACCTTCCTTGAGGTGATTCCTCATTCTTCAGGACTCCTTCCTGCAGAACTCATCTCACCTGTTCCACCCTAGAAAGCCCTCTTCTCCCCCAAGCCAACACACATCTCTTAACCTGCCTGGTGGCAACCAGTCCTTCTTTCCTTCATCGTACGTATCCAGGAGGTTATTAAATAACTCTATTCTAGGCTGTTTAATATCTGCCTTTCTCACTGGACTATGGGTTCGATGAGGGCAAAGCCTTGGTTTTCTTGGTCCCCATGGCATTTTCAGGGCCATAGGAGTAACTGGATAAATGTGGTTTAATAAAAGAGTAAATAATATTAAAGCTGCATAGCAAAGGAATGAGCACCCTGTCACTGGAGATATACAAGAAGTGGGGGTGGATCAGGGATGTTGCCAATGAATCCCTTCTATGGACAACATCTAACACAGAAGTGCCAAACAAACCACCTTTCCAGGGAAGAAGTCATCCCTGATAGCAGCACTTTCTCCTCCTGCGTCCTACCCCACTGCAGGCACAGCAAGAACAGGTTACCTTCCCCAGTGAGCGTGGTTCTGGAGCCAGGCACTGGGGCTGGCTTCTAGTCCGTGCATCACCGTGTCTCCATAGTCCATAAAGGGCTTGTTAAGCCTGCAGAAGAGAGTGCATAGACAATTTCCAAGAGATAGTTTAGCCTAAAATCACATGGTCAAAAGTCAGGAGACACAGAACAAGGAAAGACACAGCTAAAGAGCAGAAAGAACACAGGCGCAGAGACCTCAGGCTTTGACACTCAGCAGTAATTCCTCGGTGGCTTGTTTTCCTTACCTGTTAAATGAGGCGGAGACTACACAGCAAGAATCTAATGCACACCTTGCATGGGGATGGTAGTTTTCATATCCATGATCCCATTGACTCCTCATGACCATTCTCTGCACAGTTTGTGCCCAGTTTCCAGAGGAGCCAACCAGATAAGCACAATGGCCTGACTGAGATCTCCTAAGGAGCCATGCAGAAGAGCCTCACCTGAGCTCCCTGCTCCTGAATGCTCTTCTCTCTTTCTTGGCCTTATTGGAGAAAACTAAGAAGTAAACTTCTATTATGCATAGGATGTTTCTGGGCTGTCCCTGAGAACCATGTACCAAAGGAATTGACACAAGGAGGCTGTTTTCCTCACCTCTTACAGAAGCGCTGGGCACACCTGACCAGGATGTGCATACAGTGGCAGGCGATTAAGCCCATCACGAGCAGACTGAGTGGGCCCATCTGGAGGAAGGGGAGGCAAGGGGTGAGGGAGGAGAGAAGAGAATGCATTTATGAAGAATACTGCAAGCTGGGATTGGTAGCGTAGATATCATGCAGGACTCAAAGAACTCTCTAGCAAACTGGGTTTAAAGCCCTTTTGTAGCGGCAACAGCTATTCTTTCAAATATGACCTCAAGTAATATTCCAATAAAGCACATAAAGCAATTACAATGGGGTATACTGATGGGAGTAGGGGGACACAGAATCCTGACCATGTGTGCACTTTGTGGCCCCTGAAACATCCCCAAGGAGACCTGGTCCTCTATAGAGCATACTTGGAAAACTGGGCATAGTCCAATCCTTGCATTCTGCAGGGGAGGAAACTAAGGCCCGCAGAGCAGGCAAATGACTTACCAAAGGTAGTAAAGTCTGTGGCAGAGCCAGAACTCAAACCCAGGCTAGATGTCTAGACCCTAACCCTGCACCAAGCTGTCTCCCAGAAAGACTGCTCATCACAGGTTGCTAAACCGCTAGAGCCTCTCCTGTTACTTCCCTTCCGCAACTGACCATAAAGCCGTCACATATGGCGCCTCTCTTACCAGGATGCCTGCATTCTTCACAGCGAGGGATAGTCCCAGGATCCCTGTGCCCATGTTGCCTTTCACCAGGTGAATCAAGGCCTGGATCACTCTAAAGGAGAGGAAGGAGATGTGAAGTATGGGTGTGTGGAGGTGAGAAGATCCAGCAGTCATTCCCTCGCAGCATGCCAGCACCTGATAGGCGGGCTCCTAGCCATCTCTCAGTCCGTGTGTCCTTGCCTGGCACATCTGGGTCTCCTGTAAGGTTACCAACCATCCCAGTTTGCCCAGAACTGTCCTGGTTTTAGCAGCTAACACTCAATATATGCTGCAACACTTGCTATATGAGACACTGTGCTAGGTGCTTTGAATGAGTATTATCTCGTTTAATCTTCTTGCCCAGGCTCTGACAAAGATACGATTATCATCTTGCAGGTGAAGAAACGGAGGCACAGAGATTTGTTAATGACTTATCCACGATATATTGGGGAGCCAAGATTTAATGCAGGCCTGCTTCAGAGCCCCTGTTCTTCACCCCTACTTCTGCTGAGCTGCCTCCCAGAGATAAACTCAGTGTAAGTAAAGAAACAACCCTGTTTCATAACTGAGGAAATGGAGTCTCAGAGCGGAGCAGAAACTAGCTCAATGTCATAAAACTAGTAGTAGAGACAGGCTTGAACTCAGAGAAAAGGGGAAAGGGCAGGCAGAAGAAGAAATCATTACGACTTCTGAATAAACAGGTCAAATGACTGGGTCCCCAGGTGGGATCTGGCGGGACATAATCATTCAGGGATTGAGCTCCAGAGGGGTTTCTTTTCTCAGCCCAGGGTATCAGGGCTGGAGAATGCACGCCTCCCCTCCCCCAAACAAAAACTCAGACCCTTCCTTTAAGACAGATATGAAGGTTTGCCCAGAGGACAATGTCTAAACCATCAGGAGAAAAAAATGTTTCAGGGAGGTACCCTCTCTATTAGTGGAATTACAAAACAACCTATTTCTACACATTTTTGTACCTGGACCAGGTTAAGTCAAGGTGAGCATGGGACTTACATGTGCAACTTTAGAAACTTTGGAAATTCCCCATGAGAGCCTTCTGGTTAGGAGACTTATTCTTTGTAAAACCACAGAGGTACTTTGGAAGGAGCCCGATCTCTGGGATTTGACAAACCAGAGATTAAACCTCAAGGCCACGACTTAACTAGCTGTGTCATCTTGGGCAACGTGTTCAACTTTGTTGACCCTCTGTAAATGTCAGGAGTGATGCTATTTTTAAAAGATGCTATTTTAAAAGAATCTATGGGCAGAGGCTCAGGAAGCTTCATATTGAAGCTCTAAACCCTCTAGCTTCCTGAGTCTCTGTACATAGATTAATCAAGGGTTAAAGAGAACAATCGAGGGAGAAAGGGGGTGGAGAGTTCCTGCATGCCTTTCTCCCTGTGGGTGTCCACATCGCTGACTGAGCACTACACCCTACTCGCCAGGCCAGCAATGGGCTTGTTTTGCAACTAGGAAAGGGTCAGCGGGTTACTTGGGAAATTTCTAACTAAGGGACTTAGGGAAATCAGAATTTAACTATGGGCCACTCAACCAACTTGAAAATATAGCATATAGTAAGTCATGCAAAGCACCAAACTGGGAGTTGGGAGACGTGGGTTCCAACTCTAACTCCTTTCTTCGGTCACCGTGGACTGTCATCTTATTCACAGCAGCCAGCGCTTACAGACACTGAGTCTGGGGGATTTATGCTCAAATCTCCCAGGAGGAGAGAACTATCATTGACAGAGGAGAAACTGGGCACAGAGAAGTTCCAGCATTTGCTCTAGCTGGTAAGCAGCTAAGTGGGAATTCGAGCCCCGGTGAGCCAACCCCATCGTTGCCACGCTTACCCAGCCCGTATTTGGCTTCTCCCCAAGCCACAAGTCTCCCTTTAGCTCTCACTTGCTTTATTCCTTTGATCCTTAAGTTGCTGAAATTGCCACCAAACCTTGTATCAGTTCAGGACACAAGAGATAGGTGGTTCCCTCAAGGCCTCTGACTGAGAAATGCCTCTACTTAGCAGTGGCTGGCCCCAACTTATAGACAGCTCACTCTAAGGGTCACTAATACTTAGCAACTCGCAGGACTAGCCCTGGGGCAACAGCACTGGGAGCAGGGCCAGTCATTATGTCCATCCCTAAATTGTCCTGCTGGATGGTTGTGGGGAGGGGCTTTGCTTGCCCCTTACAGTCCCTCCCTGCAGTGCACCCCCAAAAAACACATCCTTCGATTTTGTTTCCATGCACTCTCCTTTAGTTCACACTGCCACCTGTTTTGCATATCAAAAAACTGGGGCTTAGAGAAGGAGCAGAGTCACTACTTGAACTCAGGCCTTCTGATTCTCTGTCCAGTGCTCTTTCTGCTATGCTAGTGGCGCGAAAACTTTCTTCTTAAAGCAGCAGAACCTCTTCACTCCCACACTCCACACCTTTTTTTCCTAAGTAAACTAGCAAGTGTGCTTGGGTGGTGGGGTCAGGTGTGGGGAAGCGAGCTGCAGCCCTGTAACTCAGCTTCCCTCTTTTTTTGTGTTTTGAAAGTCTAGTGAAAAACCCCCCCTCCCCTCCCCTGGAAAGTGGAAAAAACTAGAACCTTCCACAAGGTGTGTTTTTGAGTGTCATCTGTGCTTCTCAGTTGAAGTAGAGGCCAGGCTTACTGCAGGAAGGAGGCAGGGAGGAGGCAACACTTAGTGGTCAGTGAGGCCACTGTGGTTTTAAGCTCAGGACTCACCTTCTCCTCCAAGAAGTTAGGGATTCTACCTCTATCCCCAACATTAACATCGCTGGCCAGGAACAAAAATATGGCTTTAGGGCCAGCACTGAATTCTAGCCCCTAACAATGACTCAGTGTATGGTCAAGGGTAACTGAGCCTCAGTTTTCCCACCTGTACCTGTTGGGGGCTGGATCACTATGTCCCTAAGGGCTTTTCTGACAGCCTTTACTTCTGCCCCTTTAATCTCTCAGCTTGACTCAGCCCATGACTGCACCTTTTGCAACCTTGGTCTTTCATCTGCACAGTGGGTTGAGGGTCAGACACACCCACCTCAG